ACAGCTGTTTCAAAACATGTTGTCTGATAATCCTTATTTTCCTCATTGTTCAGTGCATAAGACCAGGCAGTTGGGAAAACACACATTTGACTTGCGGTTGATTTTAGCAGATTAAAAAACCCACTCCAGTTACCCTTTCATCACCACCTTGTGGTCATTGCAGATGATGCTGTAATGTTTAAAATCTACATTAAAATGAAATTGAAATGTGAAGCAGTCAAGCTGGAGAAAGATTGTCCTTCTCAGATGTCCCAGCTAGCTATCCAGCACCGCTAGCAGTAGTTGGGCACTATCCCGATCTCCGTGGTTCGGGACAGCACCTAAGGCAAGCACTCTGTGCTATGACATCAGCGTGACCTTGTGGTAAGACATGGCTTGGCTTATGGCTACAGTCAGCAGAAAAAGAGAGCGCTCTCCACCTGCGCTGAATCGAGGCTTATTGGGTCCCAGGGGAACCGACAGCCAAAGAGAATTGTGGGGGGAGGAGTCAGTCCTTGGACGAATAGAGTTTCAGAGGGAAGTGGGATACAAAGGATTGACTTAGGGAGAACACCAATGGGGATAACTTAAGGGTGGGGCCCCGGCCCCTGAACCAATCACTCGATGCTCTGGCTGGAAGATCCTAGAGAGAAGGGTGGGAGCGCTGAGTGACGGACAGGGCACCGGGGAGGGATTTGAGAAAGGGTACATTGATCTCCAAGGCAACTGGGGAGGAGTTGGGATAACTGGCAGCATAAGGGGGGAAGGAGGGGATAACCAGGGCAGAACCATTACATGGTAGGGGGAACAGAACAGTCCAACTTATGCAGACACAACACAACAGAAATTAAATACTTTACTCAGCCCAGGGCCCAAAATTTTATTTGCCCAAAGGAATAGAATTTGGTGAAGGTGGTGTGGTGATAAAATATTTTTGAAGGTCTACTTTTTGTGAAACTTTAGGAGAAAGAATGTACCACCATATGATTTTTACCTAATGTAATTGCTTGAATAGATATGGCATAATAATTGGTCATCATTATATGCAGGTTTGTCTTAAAGTATTTAAATTGAAAATTTTAATTAGATTTTTTAAAATTCATACTGACAATCACCTCTATTTAGACTCCTGTGAAGATTCATCTTTTTTAAGTAAGTTTATTCTTCTGTACATTTGAGAACAAGAAAACTGACAAAATATAATTTAATGAGAATTCTTTTCACATTAAGTCTAAAGACTTAAGAATTTAAGCATTGTAAGAATTCATGCTTCAACCCCATGGCATAAGATCTGAAACAAGCAGAATTGAATCAGGGGAATATTGTCTCTGATGTACTTGATAGCTGTAATTTAAATCATTGTTTTCAAATAAAACATTGAATTTGTAGTTGCCTCTCAATAAATGGGCCAGAACACAGGCAGAGTTTTTATTGTGATAACGTACATATAGGAAGGAGTTTGATAATTCAATATTTTTTCCTGGTGTAATGGGCTGAGACTCACTGGTTAGAGGGTTGTTTGTGCTTCCCCTGTCTCTTAACATGTTGTGTTTAGATGACATTATCAGGCAACACATTAAATGAGTAAACTTTACTTGATTCAATGTAAGATAAATTTCCAATGTAAAGATATTAAGCACATCACTTAATAGGAGAAAGTTCATATGCATGAGGTGAAATACCAGCTGCAGCAAAAATAAGCAAGGACCAACAGGCCTGGTATTGAAAGACAGATAGCAGTAAGAGAAGATTAGGCAGTCACTATCATTTTTGTATGTTACACCAGGTGCATTGTGAGCATTTGCAATCTTATCCTGAGGATTTAACACCAGAAAGTTCCAAATCTCTGAGATCATTCCAGCCAGATCTTTTGCACTGTTTGTCAGGCTAGAGCTTATAGACTTTTAAATTCTTTTACACAGAGATAAGTAGGGCTCTCTCTAGGCTGATTATTATCCCAATAATCCAACTGAAGCAAAATCCAAGTTTGATTGTGAATAAAAGTCTGGATGCTGACAAAGTCTATATGAAGCCCTAGCACTATGTGCACCTTAAATGCAGCCCTCTGGACCAAGGATGTCCTGCTCAGTGGTAGCTATGAGTGACGCACAGCCCATTTTATGATCCTACAAATAGCAATTTGTACTTTAAAAAAAAACAAACTCAAATTTGTTATTAGCTCCCTTTTACAGCAGATATTCCTGTAGTTGAAATTCTGACCTTTTACTCTGTTGAAAACAGGAACTCAATGTGACTCCAGTAGTGTTACTGTGTTTGCAATCTCATTACTGAGAGAAATCCAGATGAAGGAGATATATGGGTGTCTGCAGACCTTGATAGATACCTCATAGACTTATGGCTGTTCTGCCAAGCTGGGCACTATAAAAACCCTTTTAATGGTAGCTAAAATCTTCACTGATAATGCAATAAAGGATGGTGGCTGCATTCTTAAGTCATTAGTTCTTCCGCAGTTCTTTTTATTTCTTAAGGGAAAAAAAAGTATCTGAATCACTGATACAATCAGGACAAAAGTTTCCATTGGCTGTTAGAATTATGTGTCTGAATGAGATTTCAAGGTTGAAGACAGTTAAATTCCAGAGAACCTGGATCTCTAGTCAGCTCTTGCTGTCATATCATCCAATTATCCTGGAGCATGTTTATCTCTGGAAGAATAGTTCCAAAGAATAGTCTGATTTGCCCATTGCACTTGTGCTCCTCTCACACAAAGCACAAGCAGCTTCTGCACTTCATATTCAGGCTTGATCTTGTCTCTGTGTCACAGGTCTTCCATACAGCCTGGCTTGAGCCAGATTCCTGTTGTGCAGTACATCTTCAACAACCAGAGTCATGGCTCTCTCTTCACTTCTGTGCCATGACAACCCCATTGTTCTGGTGGATTATTAGGTCCTTGAAGCTGGACAGCTTCCACCCTGTGTCATTTTGCAGAGCTGGGCTTCCTGTACCTTCTTTGCCTTGCCTCTGTTATGGGGCTGATTTGGGGCTGATAAACCCCACTGTAAATCTCAAATGGGGTAGGAGTTTCTTCTTGTCTCTGTTTCATATCAGAGAGAGTTTTCTTTTTCTGAGCTAGTGGAAAAAACCTATTCTTTCTTAAGGACTGAAAATGTGAAAATTACACAGCTTCTCTCCAATCCTTCTACAAAATGGTAACAATATACCGTTTCTTATGTTTGTGATGTTGATGATTTTGCATTGAAGTGGAACTCAGGCATTAGCAAGAGTGGAGTTCTGAGCCAATGCCCTGAAACTGAAGGCTTCCCAGATAGTTCAAGAGAACATAAGGAATGGAGCAAAGGCCATGGACACTTGGCACATTCTCCTCAAGCTTGGCAACTGGTACCAATACTCTTCCACATGCCTGTTTAGTGCATACTGTCTATCTCTGGAAAATTCAGCATCATCAGAAGCAAAATCACATAGCCTGGGGGAGCTTGGAGCACTTGTCAGGACTATTTGTCCATTGAATACTTGCCTATGTGAGAAGCTGTGCTGGAAAGAACCCTCTATTATTGTAATTTGCTCCTGCCATTTCTGGCAGTTTTTGGCACGCCTGACAGAATATCTTAGGTTTGTGTTCTTTGCTCCCCATCTCTAAAATACTAAAATAATCACATGACTTATCTCAATGGTAGAGAGTTAGTTGCTTAGAGACATAGTCAGCACTCCCATTTATAATACTCAAGCACCTTTTTGCTGCAGCAAGACCACTTTCACTGCAGACTTGATCTTCATATTAATTTAGAAATATATTCAGGGTAGTGTAGCTTTCTGCTACAGGATTCTTTGTGGCTTTCAGTCACGCAGTTGCATTACCACAAAGAACTAATAGCAACCCCAATCTAGTTTTGTGAAGTACTAACTGTGCTGCTTCTCAGTGCAAAAGGAAAATGTTCTCTTCGCTCTGATGTCTGATTTACACACCACACTGTCTTTTTTTCAAGAGACTTTCAAAAAGCCACTTTTTAAAAACAGTTTACATTGCTTAGAAACTCTAGTGCCAACACAGGCACAGGTAAACCTGCATGCCTAGGTGGTGCCTCTTAGTATGTTTATAATTTCTCAAATACCTTATAAAACACAGATGGGTCTGTGCAGAAGCTTCTTTTAGCTAACAGTCAACCTACCAATTGTATTAGGTGGAAATCTTACTATTGCCTGTGTTCTTCAGATGTACTGCTGATGACAGAGTGGCTGCGAGGGGAAAAAGCAAAAGAAATGTCTGGGGCAGAGGGAATGTCAAAACCTCCAAAATCAGACCACAACAGGTTTATCTCTGTCTCTTGCTGTATCTAGTCATTGATGTGGTCATTCTTCTGGTCATAAGAAAAGAGCTTGGTGTGTCAAGGCATGCAAAAAAAAAAAACAAAAAAACAAAAAAACAAAGAGGTTTTTATGCAATGCAGACATATTATGGCTTCTGTGAAAATTCCCAACGCTGGTTGCAACTTCATGTGGCTCAGTGATACAGGACAAAATAAAATGAAATAAAATGAAATAAACCTATCCACAGCATCTGCGTGTTTCCAAAGAACAATTTGATTTATTTATATCCCAGAAGCAAGAACAACCACAGAATTTTTCTGTAGAAAAAGCATCCTTGCAATGTCTCCCTTCTGGAGGTGCACATTCACTGGCAGATTTGAGGCCTCCCAGAGAATGAGTGAGATACAAAATACTTAATGAAATGAAGTCACATGGACTTTGGACACATGTAATTCCAGTAATGAAACTGTGCAATGCTCCTTCTCATCAATGGCTAGAAGGGGCAAGCTGGAAGTAGTTGCCACTGGTCATGGTGTTGACACAGCTAGAGGCAAAAAGCAGAAAGAAAGGCTGGCTCATGACTTCTGTTTCAACCACTGGCTCTGCTGGTTTTCACCCATTTTTTGAGAAAAGTGTCTCTACGTGGAATACCTCTGTTAAGTGGAAGCCAAGGATCTCAGTGCCACAGGCTTTCAGGACAGCTACTGACCCACACAGGGCAGGTAAACTTTGTTTTTTCACAGCTCTTCATCTTTTTCATCTTTCTGGCACACAGACTTCTCTTTCAGGCTTATGTGATCTACAAGAAAAAAAATCTATAAGCAAGTTCCTAAAGCAAGCTCATTCTGCATGGGGCATATGGACTAAATGGTGTGACAAGAGTGACACTTGTTTGTCACTCTTCCTCAGTTTCCTTCCTGCTCTTCATAACTACTAGGGATTTGGTTTGATGGTGATGGTTATAGGTTTCTTCTTGAGATACACCTATGGGACTCCTCCTCTGAACCCTAGAGGCTCATGACAAATCTAGAAATCCTAAATCCCCCTGACTTGGGAAATGCAATGAGTCTTGTTTTCTGCCCTGTTACTCACCTAGGGCTGTGTCACTCTTGCTCCATTTCCCTTTTTGGAAATGGCAGGCCTAGCCCTTTGTTTTTATTTTGCTCCTACTTAAATTCTTAGGATTGGCTTGAGTTTCAATTTATACAGATATCTTCCTGTCTTTAGTAATCTTTCTGTTTCAAAATTATATAATTGCTTTTCCCAAGACTCCTAGGATCTGGGTCTACACTCATATATCTGAGTATAAAATATTATAGCAGCACTGGACTATACCTTTTCTCTCATTCTCTGGATGTTCCTTTGGGAAGAAAGGAACATACAGGACTGTCTTCTCTGGGAAGAAAGATTCAGTGAACAGTACACTGCATATATGAATTGTACAGTTATGAAGTCTTTATCCCCTGATTAATTCTGGCCAGGCCTTTATGAGGACTCAGCACTAAGAGAAAGGCAAAGACTACAAAACATTTACCACCAAATCTCAGACATGTCACTGCTTCAGGTTTTCAGATAAAATATCATCAACACTTTCTAGTATGAGAAAAATGTTAATCTAAATGAAAAAGTAAGCGAAAAAATATCAGGCTGAGGCAGATATTTACCACAGTAAATTCCAGCCCAAACTCATAATATTTGATAATATTATAAACCGAGACTTTTATAATGGGAACTGTTGCACACTCTTGAGAGTTGATTGTTCCCATCCTATCTACAAGCACTCACTCATGATTCTGCATAGGCTTGCCTAAAGCCTACTTGTGAAAAAAACATGGTATAATTTCACCAGACTAAAAGGATTTTTCTCCTACTCATGTTTCAGGGCATTCTTTTCTGGAATAAAGCTTTTAGCCTCTCTTTTTTAATCTAATCCCTTTTCAAAGTGACACATTTCACAAAGATAAAGGTTCTGAAGCCACTGCTATGACTTCCATTAGGCCCACTGCATGAAAGAAAAGGGTCCATGGATCAAGATGCCACACTCTGTAGCCTAACCTAAGTTCAGCCTTGTTCCAGATTTCAGACTTCCTGTTTTCTATTGAGCAGGTAATTGCATGTAGTTTTCTAACTATAATCCTATGCATATTAGAAGTGCTATTGTGAGAGTAAACATGCTGAAGATTAGGAGGTGCTTACCCAGCAAGGTATTGCTAACTTAGGATAAATAGAACAGAGCTCTCTGGAGAGCTGACACACTGAAAATATGGGGGTGGATTTTTCATAATCGTCTGATGGACAGATACATTCAGTAAAACTTAAAAGAACCTGTGGTCACAGATTTTCTCTCTTGCAAATAAGCATGTATGGCAGAGTAAGATTTGAAACTTACTGATCTCTCTTTTGGTAATGGAAAGTTAGAAGCAATGGCTTGTTTTCTCACAAGAAGCTCCACCTACTCTTTGTTCACTTTGCACCTTTAGTGTGAACATACTACATACTACATCAAGATGATGATAGGAAAAAAATAGCAAAGAAAGTTATATGTTAAATGCACATTATTAAAGATTTGAAAATTAGGCAGTTAGAAGCAGTAAGAAAAGGCCCAAACATTGCATAGCATATGCGCATTATTTTACAGTCAGTAATTAGTCAGAATGTGGCAGTGTACACAAACCACAGGGAAAGACTATGCGGAAAGAATTAACAAGGGACTTTGTTATTTTGACCATCTGTGGCTGGGCCTTCACTGGAATTACCTGCAGCTGAGGCAAATGGTTTCTGTAGGAGAAAAGAAACTGCAGGGGAAACAGCTTTATTAGAAGATCTGGTGATAGCTTTTCACTTGCTTGACACTGACACCGTGCTGGAACTTGGAGTAGTGTCTTCTCCTGGTCTGAGGTGCGCTCCCTTTCCTCCCCCAAGAGAGTTCAAGAATGGATTATCTGCAAATGGGCAAAGTTCCAAAGTCTGTTTGTGGTCTTGTGGTATCCAGGGTGCGATGCTGAGCCTTGCTGTCATCAAGAGAAGCAAAACTTGTAGCTGGGTTTGTAGAAAGGAGCTTTTAAAAGAGATGCCACTGTTTCTTTTCTCTCATGCTCTGGCTGGATACCCCCATCTGCAGTGATGATGTTACTGCTGCAATCTCAGCATGACAGGCCCTAGCAGGGAAGGACCAGAGCAACTTCTCTGCAGCGCTTGGAAATTTTGACCCAGACTAGTGATGGCTCCTGGCTGTACGAAGTTGCTTGGGCTCAAAGTTGAATGAAATGTTCGGTACAAGTACACTTGTTAATGAGGTGTGTCCTGACAGTGTGTGCAAAGCTCAACTGATTCAAGTCAGTTGAGTACCTTCCATTATGCTATATTTGTTTTCCTACAGAAACTCACTCACCAGGGCTACTACAATATGTTTCTTTTATTTCTGCAAATAAGGGTGAGATAAAGGCTAGGTTTGAAGAAGAAACAAAAGCAAAGATCCAATTAAAATAAATTCCAAGATTCTATATTTACATGGCTATTTCATTTGTCTCAAGTCTCAGGCTGTACACTTCATCAGAGCATTATTAGGAATGACTGTACCATAGAAAGTAATTCACTCAGGACTACATTCACCAGCATAATGCCAAATGCTACATGAGTACAATATTTTGTTGCTGCATCATGAGTTGACATACAGAGCAATTAAGCAGCTGGGTGAACGTGGGCAAGAAATTATATTCTTTTCACCTCCAAACTTTTCTCTGCTTCAAAAGTGGACTGAAAATTCTATTTTTCTTACATTTGCATGGGAATACATTTATTGATTAGCCTCCAGATATTTTTTAATCTGGTTATTCATATCTTGGTGCATGAGACTAGATAGACTTGCCAATGTTCTTTCTCATGTGTTTGTTACATGTAAAACCAAGGTAACAGTTCTAAAATATGCTCTCTATTCTTTAATCTCTATCTTATGAATCAGGCAAATAACAACACTTATCTTTAAGGGCAGACAGAGAGTTTAAACTAAGCCAAAACAGCACTTGATTAACTGTGGGGTTTTGGGGGTTTTTGTGGGGGTTTTTTGTGAATTCTTTTATTTTTGGGTGACTTCAGGGAAGATTCAAAGGTCTTTCTAAATGTTGAATCTGAATACTTAATTCTAAGGCATTTTTAGTTGAAGCAAATTGAGGCATTTATAAATTCAACATTAATCATAAGGGTATTTCCAGCTCTGCCGTTGTACATCAATGTCACTGTGCACTTATTTGCCCTTACTTTTCCAGCTTGTCCATAGGAAGGCTGTAGAAGATCATGCCAAAAGTCTTTAGAAGAACGCATGCAACATTGCCTGCTCTCCCTGCTGCCCAGAGCAGGTCCAGTCACTACCTTGGTTACACAGTCACTGCTAAAGCCCATGTTATCACTAGTGAGAATGCTGCAGTGGCATGCATGAAACATCAAAAAGCCCTCACAGAAGTAAACTCAGTTAATTTCCTGGAGTGCACAATTTCTCTCACTTAAAATGTGCACCTTGTTTTCCCCAGAAAATGCTTTTGTTTTTCTGGATGATACCCAAATCTGGTATGCCTTGTTGAAGGCATGTAACTCAGCCTGTGTCTCACTGGGCAGAGGCCCCAAACAGCCACTTCGATCTGCAGTCTGCTCCAGAACAACTTCCTGTCCTCAACTTTACATGTCAGTAAAAAGCACAGTTTGATGCACATTGCTCTGAGCAGTTTCAGTTATGAGATTTTCTTAATATGAATCTTTTGCCTACCTTTTTTTTTTTTTTTTTGAGGAAATTCTCATTATGAGCGCCCGAACACAGAGAAATCATCAGTTTACATCAGGCCAAAAAGTCACATAAGAGCAACTGGCATGCATGGATATGTAGCTGGAAACCTCTAGATTTGGGGCTTCTTTTTTTCCTAACAAAAGATGAACATTTTCCTAAGCTGCTTCCTGCCACTTGTTGCCCCAAAAACAAACCCCTATGACATTCATTTCTTTTTCCCATTTCTTCCAAGAGCAGATGAAGAAAGGTCATTGTGACACTTTCTCTGCTGTGAGTTTGCAGTGTGACCTTGTGACAAGGAAATCTGAAGTCAACCCCCTGACTGGCCCTGTCCTTCTGGAAGACTTCCAATTCTTGGAGAATGCAGGCCAATATCATTATACTGTAGCTCCTGCAGTGAATATTCTTCTTTTACTTTTCCACTGAGCTGCTGATTAGCAGCCTGGTTCTGATGCAAGTGTCCAACAGCAGTGGGGACCACAATGCTAAGAAGCAATTGGTGTGCATTTCCCTAACCTCCAGCTCTGACAGCTCCTTGCTCCCAAACAGGTCAATCCACTTGGTCATGGATGAAATAGCAAGGGGCATCACTCTTGCCAACAACCTGAATTTGTTAGAACATATTTCCTTTAGTTGTTATTAGGGGGTTTTGGATAGTTTTTTGTTTTGGGTTCTTTTTTTTTACATTTTATTCTGTTTTGGTTTTGGCTTTTTTTGAGGAAGATAATAGTTTAATACTGGTATATGTGAAAACAACAACAAAAACAACAAAAGACAAGTACCACAAAAAAATGCATGCATTTTTTTCTGCTATTGTGATTTAACCCTGGCCAGCAACTAAGCCCCCTGACAGCTACTTGCTTATTAACTACTTCCGCAGGTGGGATTGAACAGAGAATCGGAAGGGTAAAAATAAGAAAATTTGTGGGTTGAGAAGAAGACAGTTTAATATTAAAACAACATTGCATGTGTAGAAAAGCAAAACAAAGAATTCATTCACTACCTTCTATCAACAGGCAGCTGTTGAGCCCTCTCCAGTAAGGCAGGGATCCATCAGGCATAACAGTGGCTTGGGAAGACAAATGCCATAATGCCAAATGTCTCCTAGGGTGTGCTGCATGCTGATTAACAGCTGAACAGCAGTCATGGCTACAAACTCAATCTATCACATTCCAACCAAATTTGTCATCATCATGTACTGAACACACCAGCAAGAAAGGCAGCAAGAGGAAGGAGAGATGCTCTAGTCTGCTCTGGGAGTTGCCCTGGAGCCTGTGCTGAAACTCTGACTCCAGAATGCTCAGGTTGTTGTATGCTCCCTCCTGCAGAAGGATTTGGGATGGCTTTGAGAGTAAATAGAACAAGGAGTAAGGGTAAGGCTTGTTACAGAACCCTGTGGACTCTGGTATGTGAATCTGATCTCTTTTACCCTCATGGAGGAAAGAGAGACCCTGACCTATTTGAATGGAAACTGTAACAAAAACTATGAGCTATTTTTCCTACGGGCTGGAGACCTGGCCAGTCTGGAGAAAAAGTAAAGAAACCCCGTAAGTGGAGCTCACAAAGAACATGTCCTGAATACCACGGACACTGGTGTCTGTGGCTGACCTAGGTCACATCTTTTGTTGGTATCTCTGAAACTGTGACCTGCCCTGGAGCCTGTGAAGAGAGGGAAGGGAGCTGATCCTCTCTGTGTGGTCCCTTTGTCTCTAACACAGCCTGTGAGAGCCAAGCAGAGCTGCGACTCTGCGGACGGTCCAGCCTCAGAGTGAGCCTGCCAGCAGAGAAGCTCTGAGCACCAAGGTTTGCAGGGGCAGGTGCTCAGAGCTGCTCAGCTCCTGCACAGAGGAGATGGAGCTGAGCACGAATTGCAGGCAGGCAGCTGATGAGAATTCAGACATCAGGACAGCTACAAGTACCAGCTAAAGTCCCTGTTGTTTTCTGCTTGCTGGCCTCCAGGTAGTTAGGTTACCATAAAGAATTAGCAGTATTTTTTTTTTAGTTTCTGAATTGTTTATTCTTCTAGCTCTTAGCTCTGGGTGCATTCACATTGTGTGTCAGCTCTGCAGAATGCAGACTCTGCTGTGACCAAACAGCTCCATGTGTTAAAAGATGGACAGAAAGGAGCTGGGTCTGTAAATGTGAAAGGAGCAGTTTCATGGTGCTGAGCCAGCAGAATCATTGTCTGCATCCTGCTGGTGTCCCGTAAAAACCTCCTCAGGCAGGGATTACAGCAGTGTATTGGCTGCACCAAGAAAGGGTGAGAGGCGGCAGGGCAGTGGTAGAAAACCTGCACAGGAGAGGGAGTGCAGTGATACAGCATTTCCTCTGAGGTATAAAGCTGGATAACTGTTGCATAGGTTACTGTGCTGAGCCTGAAAAGCAGGATTTTTTGATCTTCGATGTTTAGATGAGGGGTTTGGCCCTGACTCCTTCAGTAGCTGATTCAGATGTGAAATGAGGCTCACAAAGCTTGAGAGATGGGGTCAGGCCTGGGTAGAAGCAGTGAAGGAACAACAAAGATCTAGGTTGTGTTCCAGCTTTGACTTCTCTGGTCTCTGCCCTCTCCTACTCCTTGCACTTGTCATGAAAACTAACTCAGTCTTAGACAAGTATTCTTCCATGGTTCAGAGGCTTAGAAATGGCAGTATGTCATCAGATGAACAATTCAACTCAAGGGTTCCTTTGTGACAGGACCTGTACGATGTGTTTAAATAAATTAACATTCAAGACCTGTGTTCTGTGGGCTGCAGCTCTCTGGATTATGCAAAGGGATAAATTAGAGTGAGCCTAAGATCTCAGGATTGGAATAATTTCTGTGCTTCATGTAGCACAGAAATAACTGCTCAAGCTCAAAAAGATTCTCTCTTTTTTTTTTTTTTTTTTGTTTTGTTTTGTTTTGTTTTGTTTTTGCAGCTGGTGGTGAAATACTTCAAAATTTTTATTGCAAAAATGAGACTTGTTCAAATTTATCTTCAGTCCTGTGTGGGATCCTCCTGGGTCTTCCTGGGAAAGCTGCTGCTCAATTACTAGACACAAACATTTTTTCTTGATTTTTTTTTCTAGAAGACATGCTGCTTAAATACTAGAATACAAGGTACCTGAAATTGAATGACTTAATTTAATACAATATGAGTTAATTTCCTATTGCATATATGTTAGATTTGACCTTATACAGAAAGATTGATACTTGCATGCATGGTAACAGCACTTGTAGTTGCACTAGAGAGAGGATGGAAGACAGAGCTGACAGGGTTGGGGAGGATCCAGCTTGCAAGCTGTGCTTCTGCACAATTACACTGGCTGCACTGTAAATGTTCGCTTCCTTCTTCTGAGAGCTCTGGTTCTTGCTGAGTTCTTGCTGCAGACCACATCACTGACACATAACAGCACTTTCTTTCATCTTTGCTCAAGCCCAGACACCTCTGCAGGTGGGAGCTGCCTTGGTTTGCACAAGTTTGACATTTTCCTAGGAAACAAGACACCAACACCGTAAATGTGAGGACAAGGCTGTTCTTAGAATGCAGTTTTGGTTTCTAGGAGTGTAAAAACAGAATTCCTCCCTTTTATTTGTTAGAGAAACCCAATACCATAAGGCTTCATGTCTGTGGTCTCACATGAGCATGACCAGAGCTGGCCATGCTCCAGCCAGCACCCAAAGGAGAGATGCCAAGAGCCCTGGCACAGAGTGAAGCTAAAGTGTGACTCAAAGACAGCAGTTAGTTCTGCCTCTGTGGTGTTTGCAGAGGAATTCGGGGCAGCAACTGCAGCTTGTGCCAGAGGCCAGCTTAGACAGACTAATCAGCCAAGCTGCCAGAAATCCCCAGTAGTTACAACAGCAGCAGACCTGTTCAGCTCTCTCTCTCAATACTTCCTGCCCTTCTATACTGCCTTCCCTGCCTTCCCTGGCTTTCTTTGCCTAGCAAAAAAGAGGCCAAAAGACTGGCTCTGAGCTCAGATGGGTATTTTGCTGCTTCTTTAATCTTCATAGCCTGGCAATGTTTATTCAGATCCCTCCATCAGGTGGAAAACCCCTAACCATTCCCTTTGTATTTTTTCTTCTGAATGATTTATGGCAGCAGGAAGAGCCAGGTGTGGACTTCTCTCCCTCCCTGTCTGCCTCAGCTGAGCTGTTCCAGTCCTCGGGCAAAACTCCATGAATGTGTGCAGGACTGATGGGTTTGGGACAGACTGAGCTGACTATGCATGCCATTAATTAGTACCAGAAGTCCTTCTAAGCTCCTCTGGACTGGCCAAAGGGGTTTATGTGTATTGTGTCCCATACATACCTATTAAAGAAGATGTAGAGCTCAAAAGCAGCCAGCAAGAACAGGAGACTCATAAGGCCGATAAGGCTGATGACACAGGGAAGAAAGAATCCAATCTTCTCTAAGGAGAAACAGATGCTCTTTTAGGTACATCTCACAGACCCTGTTTCCCTTCTGCCTCTGTCAGGATGGCATCTCCTGGACAGTACTCTCTGTGTGCTGTACTTCAGAGGATGACCTAAGACGGCTCGAATACAGTGCCAGACACACAACTGGGAAGAAACAACATCCCCCAAGTCCTCGATGGAGGAAGCTTGTCTTTCACTGTATGGCCATTCCTACCCACAGCACTACTGCAGGCTTTGCATGTGCATCCCAGCAAATCTCAGCTCTCATTCTCTTCCAGATGAGTATTTCAGTCAATTACCTATGGCTGCACACAACTTCCCAGCCACATCTTAAGCTTCAGCCTCTAAAGCCTTCACCTGCCAGCCAGCTTTGAGAACTGTAAACTGGATTTCAGTCTTTCTGTCACAACCCATGTGTAACCAAACAATTAGCAACGTGTAATGGCACCAATGGATTACAATACATAGATCTGGATGATCGTACCATTGAAACATTTGTGTGTCATGACCTTCTGAATTAATCCCACCTTTCCATTCATCCCTGGAGGCGGATGGCAAATCCACTGCATCCATCTTTCCTAAAACTTCACAAAGGGTTTTACAGTTCTGACACTACCTGTGTTTATCCTTCCCCCTCCCAGCAAATTTCTTACTGGAAACTCAGCTGCCACATTTCCTGCTGCAATCCTGCCAGTGCCACTCATGTTTGCTTGGTACATGAACAGAGGGCTGAACAGGACTCTGAACACTGAAAGAACAAAGGGAAGCTCACCTGAGGGACAGCAGGATATGGACTGGCTCCAGTTCCCAGCTGGGTGGGACACCATGCAGGTGGTCACATTGGTGACATTGGTGCTACACGCTGTGAACTTGCTGAGAACAGTCACTGTCCCGTTGTTGTGGCACTTCTCCTCTGCAGTGGAGCTGCCCTCTGGGACCCAGGAGAGCTGAGCCGGTGGCTTCCCTGCCGCTGCCTCACACACAGGGCTGCCCTGCTCATCACAGGACAGGCTCAGCCTCGGGGGGGCTGCAAAGCACCAGCAAGGGGACATGCATGGAGTTAGTTTGGAACAGCTGGGATGGGCTGTTCTTGTCCTCTGCCCAAAATGAACCCAAACTGAACCCAGTGAAAAGAGGAGAATAAGGCTGGGGCTGTCATCCCATCCCATCCCATCCCATCCCATCCCATCCCATCCCATCCCACCCCATCCCACAACATGGGCCCAAAACACACGAGACAAAGAAGAGCTCTCTTTTTCCCTTTTGCCCAACTCTCCCGCATCCAGTTGAGCCTCATCACAGCCATTCATACCCTCTGTGTGTACATGGGAAATTGCTTCACACCTGTCACTTCTAACTAGACAGTGGAAAAAGGGAGCAGCAGAAGGGAGAAGAGTTATGGGAAATAAGGAGAAAGGAGACACAGAGATACTCCCAATGAAATGCATGAGTTTGTCCCAGCAAGAATCACAGAATAGCTTAGGTTGGAAGGAACTTTAAAGATGCTCTAGTTCCAACCACCTTGCCATGCAAAGGGACACCTTCCACAAGACTGGGTTGCTTCAAGTCTCCCTGGTCTTTAACACTGGGATGTCGACAGCTTCTCTGGACAATCAGTGTTCCAGTGGCACTATCCTCACAATACCAAATAGCTTCCTAATATCTAATCTAACCTTACCCTCATTAGTCTAATTTTTAAAAAGCTCCCTTTTGCACATTCCTTACCCAGCACAGTCAGGTGGTACCTTGTGTGGAAATTCCCTTCTGTTGTTGCCGCTTCACAGCTGTAATTTCCCTCCTGGGCTAGCCCCACTTGCCATATCCCAAGGGCAGGAGGCAGACCTGCTCTGAATATCCAGTTTATGTTGTCACTACAGGTTGTTCTGTGTGTCTCGTTCGTATCAACCCTGTATACCAAGGTGCACAGGCCTCCAGCCTTGGGGGTTATTGTCCATGTTAGCATAGTTATATTTCCTTTGAGAAAGCAGGTGAGAGCTGAGCTGTTACCTACAGTCATCACTAACACTGAGGAGTTGTTTCCTGAGGAGAAAAAAAAGAGAATGTGTGAGAGGGAGCCCAGGAGTTGTGGTCTGGACTTCACAGGGAAATGTCTGCAGTGCTACAAACAAGCGTGAGGCCATGGCTGTGCTCATCTGCACGTTGTCTGTCATCTCTTCCTACAGCTGTGGATTATGGAGCCAATGGCCTGTCATGGCCAACCCCTGCAATACAAATTTCCCACTGAGGATCATCTTAGTGGATAAGACTGGATACTGGAGGAGGACCCTACTCCTGCCCATTGTCTTCAGCGGTTCCGCATCCAAAGGCTGTGCTTGTGTGAGCAAATCCTCCAGTGGGTTGCTCACAGGACCTAAAATACAGGAATATGACTGTTGCATCTGGCCACATGACAGTGGCTTTTCTCTCTAACCGTTGCTGCCAACAAAATAAACAACTTTTACTTCTGCATTCATATGAAATCCCATACAGTGGGATTTGGCCTTATCTACACCTTTCAGGCATTACACAGGTGCACATAACACTGGTGGAGCTTTGTGGGGGAGGGAAGGATTTTGCCTCATGTCTCAGGGTTTTCTTATATGTGCATTAGTGTTGCCTACATGTACAAAGGCAGCCTCTTTTGTGAGGCACTTGTGAGACTGAGAGAAAAAAAGAGTCTGAGGTGCAGGTTGTAATCCAGTGTGAAGAGTAGCTGAGGGAATGGGACTTTTGTGTCCTCTGGCTTCTGCTGAAGTTAAAAGCAAGCAATTCCTAGATTTCACAATGTTTGTGAATGAAACTTCGCAGTTATTGGGTTTATAGGAATAATACCCATAGCTGTAGTCCAAACAAACCTCTCTTTATCACTTCACTCATTTCCTCTTTTAGCTGGTGGCCATTAAACTTTGGGACAGTAAACCACTGATCTCTCGGTTCTGTGTGTCAGTGGTGGAAAATGAGTTGCTCTTTTCTTTGGCTGAGTAATGGTTTTAGTGACAGTCTGAAAGCTGTGTATGAGGAGAAAATCTCTCAGGTTTCCTTTACCCTCAACATCACTGCCCTGTACAGCAGAATCAAAGTGTGAAAACATCCACCCCACTTTTGTTCTGGACATAGGCTGTCCTTTTAATGTAGTCAAGCACAGGTGACAATTTCTGCTCTGATGCTCCAAAGCTTCTAGTAACCAATTTCCTTGATTATAGTGATGACAGATTAAATAGTTGAGGTGTCCAGGGCATTCCCCTGGAGAGAAAACCCATTCATGTTTGCTGCTAGATGCAGAGATCCTCAAGAGACTCAAGATCACTTTGTGACCTGTTCCACCTGTGCTAACAAAAGCAAACGAGAAAAAGAACCAGGATTTTGATTAATTAACGTAGATCATGGAGGGAAAAGGATTATAGCTGCATTCTCAGATCCCATATTTTTGGAATTTGCTCTTCCAAGTCTTACTGAAACTTTCGTTCTGAGCCTTGTGTCATAAAATCTCATGATATCTCACTTGTCAGCACAAGTCACTAATACCTAAGAGTAGAGCTTGACAGGGTGATCATACTGATCATAAAACCTCACATCAATTATGTTTGTAATAAATTTGTTAATTATAATGAAAAATATTATAATCCAAGAAAATCATTATCAGTTTTCAACAAAGAATTGAAAAGCCCAAATTCAGCACATTATTTATTGGTTGACAACTGAAAAAATCTATTTGCAGCTAGAAATGTTTTGATTTCCAGATTATTGTTTTTTCCATTAAAAAGTCCCTTCAGCAATTTGTAAAGATTCCTTCAACCAGGCTTTTCTTTCCCAAAGCAGAGTTGAGTACATATCATTCTGATACCCTGCCTTTTCCTCCCCTGCCCTTAAAAGAGAGATGGTGCCAAAGTACCATCAATACCTGTAGTTCCTGTGACTGCAGCGATAGTGAGAAGGACAATGGTGCAAATGCTCTTCCTGACAACTTTCAAAGTAGGTCTTGCTTTTGTGGATGAGAAGGCTTTCTTGCACTGCCCAGCTTGATGTGAGCTCCCCAATATTCCTGCCAGTGATCCTGAAGCCAGAGCCACTGTTCTTCCTCTGCTCCTGAGAGCCCCACAGTGCAGCTACAAAGAGCTGGTTCTTCTTCCTAGCATGAGCCTTTCTCTGATGGGAATTGATGAGCAGAGAGGAAGTGGTATTTGTATTTGCTCTCTTCCCAGTGGCCTTCAAGCCCACTGTCCCCAGTGTTACTGTGGGATGACAAAGTCTACAGCAGAACTTGCACAAAGCCTGACCAGTGTGATTTTTCATGTTTCGCTTGGATCTTGCGGTTAACAAAATTTTTAACACAAGGCTCTCATCTACATTTGGCAGGATTATTGACACAGATCAATTATGACATCTGGCAGCTCAAGCTAGGGACCTCAAAAGAGGGTCCAGGAACAAAGACACTCCTGAGCAATTATACCCTTACAATTTGATTCCCTATCCTTCACATGACAGTCTAGACCCATAGCCACATTAGGGTCTAGATCTTCTCACTCTTTACTGGCTCTCTGTTCCATTACCAAGTGGTTGCTACATGATCATCTTCACATCCTCCTACATCAGTGTCAGTGTCAGGATTTGGGTCAGCCTCATAGTCCTTGTTGTAATATGGCTGTTACAGTTCATAGTACAGAATCATGGAACCAATTAGGTTGGAAAAGACCCCCAATATCATCGAGTCCAACCTGTGACTGATCACCACCGTGTCAGCTACACCATGGCACTGACTGCCATGTCCAGTGGTTTCTTCAACACGTCCAGGGACAGTAAGTCCACCACCTCCCTAGACAGTCCAATTCAATGTCTAATCACCCTTTCTGTGAAGAAATCCTTTGTGATGTCCCCTGGCACAGCTTGAGACTATGTTCTCTTGTCCTGTGGCTTGTTGCCTGGGAGAAGAGGCCAATCCCCACCTGGCTACAACCTCCTTTCACATACTTAAAGAGAGTGATAAGGTCACCCCCAAGTGTTTTCTTCTCCAGGCTAAATAACCCCAGCTTCCTCAGCCTCACAGAACTTACTCTCCAGAGCCTTCACCAGCTTTGCTGCCCTGCTCTGGACACACACCAGGACTCAATCTATGGGCTGGCCACTCTTGCTATTAATATTAAAGTAATATTTAAGCTCCTAGGTTTACCAGTCATAACTATCTTGAATATTCAGATTATTATCTCCACATTTCACTACAATTCATCTTTGATTTACATAACATATTTGTATAGTTCAGATAAAGCTCAGTTTCCAGCCTAACAACACTGTGTATTTCAAGCAAACACCTATTTCAAATAACATAAAATTTTCAATACTCACATAAGAATTTTATCATTGAATTAGGGGAAGGATATTTTTAGTTAACCACTTTAAGTATGTTCAACATAGTAAAAGCAAAATCTCTTGAAAAAAATTCCTCAACACAGGTTCTGCCCCAGCATCATGTGGTTTAGCAGTGAAGTGCAAAAACCATTACTCATTATTCAAGGCAGGTCCAAGATGCAAAGATCACATGTAGATCCCTGTGATGTGAGACATACCATAGTTTCAACCATACAGTCTGTGGGTAAGGTAGTTCAAAACTGCCTGGCAGAGGCAGCATGAAATAATGGTCCAAGTCATGAAAATCAGAAGATTTTAGGGTCCTAATCACTGGGGGTTTAATTGGGAGCAACAGACCCAGGCACCTGGAGAATGTTAGGGTCATTTTAGAAACTAAGGCAGGAAAACTGATAAATGGGGAGAATTCCTTTCAGTATGGGATGCAACCTAGTCTGGTTATTTTGGGGAAAGGCTTAATGATTTTGGGTCTGGGGCTTTTTGATAAAGATTCTGCCTCATATCTGATATTCAAAGTGATAGCTGGAAAATCATGTTGGTATTTCTTTAATTAGCCTTTTGGGATTTGAGTCTCTGGATTACAGTCTGTCCACAACACAGAAACTTACTGCATGACTGTGGACAGTGGAAAGGTTGTCCGTGGGTGATTTAGCAGAGGGAGGACTGCTGGGAGGTTTTTGGTTTTCAAAGCCCAAACTCTCAAACTGGAGCCAGACAGCATGGCAGTATTGTTTCAAGAAGACCACTGCTGTGTCCCAGGCAGTGGATCCAATCAGCTGTGATGCTGGACCTGCTGGTTCTCCAACCACCTCCAGCACAGCCCTGGAGCTCGTTTCAAGTGTCCTTCACTGTTAGGTTGTTTCGGTTTCAGCTTGGTTACAGGCTTCTGAGACCCTGTTTTAGTTGAATTCATAGCTCATAGTCACCATGACATCCTGTTTCCTTTATGTTGTTTCTGGCTCTGGACGTACCTCCACGAGAGTGACTCAGCCTCCCCCTGCACCCCCCATAACAAATTCTAGTTTTAGCTGCCATCCTGGACATTTCAGAGCAAGCTCCTAGCACTCATTAATGATTCAGGCCCTGAGAAAGCAGAGTTTTGCAAAGATTGGCTTCATGTTGCTGCTGCTGCACCTGCTGCTACTAGGGTTTTTGTCAGACGCATGTTATAGCTGTGCTTTCTTCTCCATCTCCTGGTCAAAGTAAGCAACAGCATTAACCTTGAAAAGTTCTTTTTCTTTTCACCTAACAGTCAAAAACCCCAAAACATTTAACTTTCAGTGTCACTGTGATATTTTCTGAAAAATCCCTTTGCCAGGATTTCTTCTCCTGGGAAGTTGAGAAGCCTCAGAGAAAAATGTAAATAATAATTTTCTGATTGCTTCTCTTTGTGTTTTGCTGCTTTGGAATGTGGTAGGTGATTCTTTCATTGGTTCCATGTGAATTGTGTTTTCTTAATGACCAATCACAGCCAGCTGTGTTGTTCTCTCTGAGTCTGTCACAGGTTTTTATTATCATTCTTGTCTAGCCTTCTGATGTCTCTCTTTCTTTAGTATAGTTTTAGTACATAATATAATATAATATAATATAATATAATATAATATAATATAATATAATATAATATAATATAATATAATATAATATAATATAATATAA